GCTGAAAATGTCAAATTCAAGGTAGTCAAGGCTAAAACTCCACAGAGTCAGGTCAGAAGGCTGAACAGCTGTTCAAACTGGATGTCAGTCAAGTTTTCAGCAATTTCATAATGTGTTGTGTGTGCAACCAGTATGTTCCTACTTTGTCACGTCCGTAAAAGCAAAAAAAGAGGAAGCAGCAGCAGAGGAAAGCTATGGACTCCAACTGAGCACCCACTGTCCTTGCACAGGCAGTAGAATAGAACCCAAATATAATATCATCTGACATAGTATAAAGTTATAATATAGCTCAAAAGTAGGAGGAACATATCTCCACATGCTGAGCAGCTGTCTCTGAAGCTGTACCAAGGTTTCCATCAGGAAACAAGCAAGCCAGAACACAGCCATCCCCTGAAAGTCTATCTGATCAGAAATCACTGAAGTGGAGGAACTGGAAAAAGCCCTATGGACTCAGCAATTAACCAGTACAAGACCAAGTCTTTTCTGTGGGTTTAGGAACTCAAGACCAGTGTTAAATTGCTCCGATTCACTGTGTTTCTAGGATTTTATCTTCACAGTGCGTCTTTGCATTTCATTTGCACCTCATTTGGAAATGAAGTGTATGCCAGGCACAGACAGCACATCCAGAACACAGAAAATTGCTGGAGGGTCTTGTTTACCCCTGCAATGGTGTGTACTACATGGCAATTTAAAATACAGATTCAATCTTCATCTCAGCATTGCTTTAAGTGTGCTGGTAGCAATTGGGCAAAACCGACATGACCCCAGGCAGAGACACAATACAAAAACCACAACTGAAAAAAAATTCTAGTGCACTAAATTCCTAGTAAGTAAGTAAATAAATAAATAAATAAATAATGATAATTTCTGGTTCTCCATTTCAGGTCTCTTCCCTACCCTCCCAAAATTTCCTATTTTGCTCTTATCTGTAGAAATGTTAAACGATCAATTTGGGAAACGCTGCATCTTACTTAATACAAACGTCTTCACACTGTTGTTTTCTGAGAAAATTTGATGATTTGACATCATCTCCTTTCTCCCTGCACTTTGTAAGATCCACACAAGTCATTTAAAGACTCTATTGGGGCACTGCAGAAAGCTCAGACAATAAGCAAATTACTGTGTATTAGCTGAGACACATTAACTATGAAAGAGCTTTAAGGCAAACTGAATTGCCTAGCAGTTGTTTTTGCTTTAGATTAAGAGAAAATAAGCTCAATTAATATGACTCAGCTGGTATGGTATTTGGATAGTGCTTGTACCTAGCAGCTGCTCCCAGAAGAACCAGGTAGACTTGGATGCACCACGGAATATGAGCATGAGCTCTCTTGAGACCTTGCAAGAAGGAACAAGGATAATGGAACAGCTACAAAATGTAACAAAGCATGGAAATATGTAAAGTGATTCACAGCATCACCACACAAAATATTTTTTGAAGAAACTTCTCTGAAGCAAGAGGGATTGCAATATGCTTGCTTCCATTACATGGACCATGTGTACTGTAGGAACAGGGAAGAAAAGACAGCTGCTCTTGGCAGATTCAAGACAAGATACAGCAGGAGGATGTAGGCAGGAATCATACAGACTCCAAGATAACAGCAGGACAGCAACCACCAGCATCACATTTTGGGTCTCAGTAAGCCTGAGGACAGGCATTGTCAAAGGTTTCTGTTAGCACCAGAGCAAGGGCTTTGAAAAACAATGAGATCGTATACATTCAAATGCTTGTAAAACTAAGAGAGCCATCCCAGGGAGTGAAGGATTCTAGGGAGCTCAAAATGAGAGTTCAGGCTCAGTATGTTTAATGCTGCTCAGAAGTATAAATAAATAAGATAGGAGATTTCATCAATGAACCAGAGTAAGAAAATTATCCTTGCGGTGAGTTTCTGAGTGATGAAATTACTTTTGTCAAGAGCAGATAATAGGTGACATTAGATAATGACACTTGGATTACAGTATATTTCTGTGTATGGAGAGTGAAGGCATTTGAAAGTTTATGTGAAATTTAACCAATAGCTTGGAAACGAGGACAAAGAACTAAAGAAAGTCCTTAGACTATGACAGCATTATCAGTATGATATCACTGTCAGTAATGAGCAAGTATGGCTTAGGAAAGGTAGAAGTTGATAATGCTGGCTGAATTCAACTAGAAGCTGAGCCATGACATACCAGAGAGACAGGCCAAACTCTAGATTTGCTAAAAAAAAAAAAAAAAATCAGAGAACAGTAATGTTTATTAGATCATAAACAGCATGTTGAGGTATATCAGGACCTTCTGAAAGACATTTTGCATACGTTTTCAGAAAACAGATGGAGAACCATTGGCAGATAGAATCACAGATGGAAGCTTTTAAGAAGGGATTTTCAGATAAAATTGAAGGTCAATGCCAGGATAAAATGAAGGCAGACAGGATTTTGTTTGTTGGTTGTAGTCAATAGAAGAAATAAGAACATGCTAGCTGAGAAAGAGAGGAAGACTAGAGGAGGTTTTGGAGAAAAGAGAGGTAGAGAAGTCAAAGGAAGATGAGCTCTGCCCTGATGAGGAAGCCATATCTGCAGAAGAAGCAGTTAAAGAAGTAGCCAGTGACTCAAGGCCGTGTCATTATGCTGATGTTTTTTTTCTTCCGCCCTAGAAGCAACCCACGAGCTGTTTGGAGAGAAAGGACACAAGAATATGGGGACAACTGAAAGCATGAGCACAGGGAAAGCATGACTCAGCTAAGCCAGAGGCAGGGGATAGAGTTGGAGGAGGACAGACACAGCCTATTCACAAGATATATGCCAGAGATGCCCCATAGCAAAAGCAAAAGAAACAGACACTGGAGGACAGCCAGACTGTAACTTGATGATAGGAAAGAGAAGTGAGCAATTAAAGAGTAGAGGAGGCTGCAAAAAGGAAATATTTTTAGAAACTCATGTCGCTAAGGCATAAACGCAGTGCACACACTTTGATGAGCTGTGTCTTTAACTGCATATACTGCTTTCCAGAGAAATTCTTAAGAGAAAAAAATGTGTCTCTCCTTCGGGCAAGAAGGAACTGAAATGCAGAAAGAGGTAATGGGCATAGTTTCGCATGCAACATTACCTCTGTGCCCATCTCCCTGTCTAGTGATTGTGCAACACTCAGCATGATTTTATCAGCATTAAGTGACGCTTCAGGAAGGACACCTTCCCCACACATGAAATCAGTACTAGCTACACTGGCCTGTAAACAGCACTCGTGAGTTAACAGTGACTCCTTGAAGAGAGTTCTGTGCGCAAAACAGCAAAACCATTCAGCATGTCATTCAGCAAGAGACCCTTCCTTGGTTACTGCTCCTACCATAGGACACAGCAGCAACTGAGAATCTCGTAGGATCTCCCCATGACGAGCTGCTGAGCAGCAGGCTGCAAATCCATGCCATTTAATCAAGCCAGTGCACAATACTGTTGTCTGTACAGTACCCTGCAGCTGTGTCTTTATCCACAGCAGACCTTGTCCCACTAACCCACAATCAAGTCAGTATTACTTTCAAGAGATCATGGGGGAATGTGTAATGGATGGATGTGTGGGGCAAGGGGAAACATCTGGAATCAACAAGGACAAAACAGAGCATCTGAAAAAATGAGGAAGCCCTTCAGCCTATATTGGCTTGATGCCTTCCCCCATCATTTTGCAGAGGCTGCACAGGGCTGGTAGAGAGCCTGCCATGCTAAGCAGCCTGCACCTACAAGGAAATACGCTCAGGTGAAAAGCAAATGTTGTGTTCTGGCAACTAGACAGCCCTGCAAGAAATCAGGTCTCCCAGTAAGCACGGGGATAAGTAACAAACAGCTAGAACCCGAAGAAGTCCACATACATTAGCAGCCTGGCTAATAGCTCTTGCCATCCGTAAAGTGAAACAGAGCCTTCCAGCACCCTGTGATGGAAAAGGGGCAGCAGTGAGGCAGCATGCTGGGCAAAAGTGAAGGTGAGGCAGCATTTGAAAGCAGACAGCTTCAGCATGCCTGACCTGAGGCACACAGCCTCCACATGCCACAGGACTTACAGCTGGTCACATCGTGTGCCACCAGAGTCAGCACCAAGAGAGAGGCACTGTGGGAATCTCCTTTCCACACAGGTAGTTTTTGCATCTAGAAAGTTCCACCACGGGGGAGGGTTCAGAAAGGCCATTCTGTAAGAAGTCACAAAACGCTTTCTCTTCCCTTTTTGAATTGTCACAAACCGCTGAACATTGGCATAACTGGCAGGTGGGAAAACCCTGCCAAACTGAACTGCTGTTCCTGTACAGGGATAATACACCTTCCAAGAAACCCAATTAATACTACTGAGCCCTACACTTCAAAATGAACCTGTTGAAAGAAAGTATAAGTGAATAATTAAATTAGATGCTAATCTCCACTTTCTCCAGAGGCACATTTTGTTGATGAAAACTCAAATCCAGAGACAAAGACAAAGGTTTAGGTTTTCTGTTTCAGCACAAAGGACAGGAGATTCTAATTTCAGCTGTCCTTTTGTATGGGTAGGCCCATTCACACAGTACTTTAGCCATGTCTTTACTCATTCAATTTAATGTGTTTTAGAATTATTTTCACATTGAAAACAGAAATAGTTCTGCTCAGTGCTGCCACCACAGCACAATAAAATCTACTCCCATATTGCACCCCAAATTCTCTTCACACAACAGTATATTTGCCGTTTTTTCTCTAGGAACCCAAAATCAATAAGGGAATTGCTTCAATTTCCATATTACGCATTTATCTTCACAAATATCAGATTTACCTGAAACAGTCATGAATAGATTGTCACCGTGTCCCTTGATGGATCTTAAAATATAATTTAATTAAACTTGTCCAGAAGAGAATAATTCATATACATGTTGTCCCTTGTCCTCACTCAACAAATATTTTTTCTAATTATTTCATAATATTTTAGTGATCCATTTGCATTTTTAACCAAAGTAGAGAGGGGAGAACATGAGATCTTTTACACAGGTCTTTAAAAGCAGGCAGCTACTTACCCTGTGAACTTCCTTTATTATGCCAAGTGAATATTGTTTCTTATCAGCTAAAACTATACTGGCTTTTAAAAAGACAAAGAAAATAGACGTGACTAGACAGAAATAACTAACACTTGTCACTTAAGCAAAAAGCCATAAGCCACAACCTTACCAGCAAGGAATTCTGAAGAATAGCCACACTTGTCCCGTCAGCTCCATACACCTTGCAAAGCAGAGAGGAAACTCTTACAGAAATCAGTTGCAATGCTGAAATTGCCCAAGAGGAAGCTCATGTCTCTTTTACAAGCCATGACTACACAAACCACAAGTCAGGCATCAAAGCAAGTGCTAAAAGCCTTGCCTGTCAGAAGTGTTAATGCTAGAACCCAGACATGTGGAAATGGGGTAGGAGATGAGACTAAAATATTATAAATATTCCCAGATAGCTAATTTTTAGTATTTTTTGTTTGTTTCCCATATGGAAATTGATTTTAAAAATGTATTCTCATACATTCCTGAGCAGAGGCTTGTGGGAAACAGAAGAAAGTTTTGATGACAAATGGCATTCTCCAAGCCTCAGCACAGCCTCTCTTGCTAACACATTCCTCAGAGCACCTCTCCAGTCCCAGTCTCCTGGGGGCCCCAGCGTTCAATCCTGAGCCCCAAGGTGTGCTAGAGCCTGCACCCAGCCACACCAAGACCAGGAAGCCCTTGGGACAAATGGAAAGACAGGACATGAAGTGCTGTTGGTTTGGTTTTTCTGGGTCATCTGCAAGGTGTGTCCCAGGAAACCCCATCCAAGCAGGGATGACAGCAAGATCTTCAGACAAGCACCTGGATCTAATAGTTTCAAATCAACTATCTTTGGTTACCACATTTCCTTTTCAGCCAACTGACAGAGTGGTAAGCCAAAATTAATAACTCTCTTAAAAATATGAGACAGATGCCTCTGTAAGTTACATATGCACTAGACTTGTGGGAAAAAGGAAATGAAAATTCAGGACCTTGCATTTTTGGGGTACTTTTCTGGTTTATATATTTAACAGTTTGAGCCAAAGGTATGCAGACTTCATGAATGAATAAACATCTAGCACAAATATCCAAGTAACTTTCATTGCTCTATCTATACAGCACTTTACTTATCTCAGGTATCACATTAGTCTTTAAAGACAGAGCATGCACTCTTAAATTTCATCCATCTTCAAAGTGATAGGCATTGCTAAAAAAAGGCAGGCTATCACATACTTTGAAATTATTTTTTCCTCTTTGACTCACTGAAATATTACAGACCAGTTGTCTCAAAGCAGGATGGAGGGATACTGCTGCTTAGAGATTCTCCTGCATTTTCTCAGATCTCTTGCCCTGTCACAGCAAAATTCCAGGGTCTAGAGTCAGGTAAAGGAGTTATACAGAGATCTCCATGCTTTACTATTCATGACACTGAAATTACAGTGCCACCTGTAGGACATCCATAAGAAAAATTAATTTGGGCCTTGCTGGTGCCACGAACGCCAGTTATAATTATAGGGCTTTCTAGTAGTCTTGGCAGAAGTGTAGGAACATAAAAAACAGATGACTCATGTCAATCTACAGGGAGTTACTTGAAAGCCTTTTTCACATAGGGCAACATGCTTCAGCACATCCAGAAGAGGATATTTTGCTACAAAGATGAATCTTTTGTGGAAGGAGGATATGCCAGCACAATGCATTCATAATCCATACATTTAAGAGCTTGTGCCAGTATAGGCAGGAGAGATCTGCCTCAACCACTTCCAGCTAAGAGAGACTTTCCTGGAATCTAAGGAAAGTTTCCATTGTGGCTGCACGCTTTTTGTTTGTACATTTTTAACTTTTCCACTCTCAATTTAGTTTTTAGCTATGGACCATGTTAACCCAGTGCATCACATTTCATCAACCGGTATTTGCATTGCATTCATATGTTACTTTGCAGCATTGAAAAGCACTCATATGCTTCAAAATACACCAATATTTTATGTTGCTTTCTTTTTTCTTTTTTTCCCTCTTTACTAAGAGAGTAATGTTCCACTTTTCTTACCCATAGTTAAGTCAATGTCTGTAAAGTCTTCTCTCCAATGTATCTTTTCAATACATAAGGTAAGACAAGAGTAAGTTGATGCATCTTTGTAGCTAAATTTCCATTAATAACATTTGAAATGGAAAGTACTCAACTGATTTACTTAATAGCTCTGTTACTGCAAATGAACTCAAAAGGAGGAGGTGTACAACATGTTCAAGGGTGGTTTATGCTTGATGTTCACCTGTGGTCAGAAACAGGACAAAATAGTTTGACAGATGAGGAAGGGAACAGTGAATAATATAATGGATTTAGGAATGCTTTTGTTTGGATCAATGGCAGCTTTGTGTGGGATATTACGTAACATAGGCATCACCAACAAACAATAGAAAGAATCTGTAAGACCGTAAAGAGAAAACAGTGAAAAGAATGGTCAAGAATTGCCAGGGGAATAAAAAGCTCTTGTAGGAAGATGGATTTTAATATAAACAATGCTTTGTAGTGTGGCTTGACTGATAAGGGATTCAACATAAATAGTTTAGATTATGATTTATATAGGGAAAAGACATCTCTTTCTTGGTCATGTAAAACAAAAAGGGAAGGAACAAACAATGAAAGGTGATAAAATGAGAAGGAAAAGGATTCAAGCACACTGTTTGGAACTTTAGTACAGAATTGAAAATATTACTCCGTGAAGCAGGGCAAATAGAGATTCAATATGTGTAGAGAGCAGTAAATTAAGTAGTTTCCAGGAATTAAGTAGTTTCCAGGTCAAAACATTTATGGCAAATTCCACAGCGTAAAAATATTATTCTCTTCATTTTACTAGCTTCTTATGGTAACAGCAGTAGCAAAGAGTCAGAGACTGTCACTAACTTTTGAGATAGATGCACAACAGGAATAAAAAGTGCAGTAGGGTAAGTGATGCAGAGAGTTAAAAAAAACTATTTATATAGTTGTGCAAATACAGGCTGTCGAAATCACTAGGTTTCCACACAGGTAGTTATGGAAGGCTGGAGCAGAAAAAGGATTTCTGAAGGGACTTCCTGCCAACATGGCGACAAGGACACAAGAAAACTTGCAGGGGGAGCCAAAAATATTTAGAAATTTCCAATTCCTGTTTCTCTGGCAAGCTGCCTGTGAGGAAATAAAGGATTTTTGCAAGCAGAAAAATCAAAATAATATGTACCAGGGCACATATGAACATGAGGGCAGCTCACAGAGATGTGTGACACTTGGTGAAACTGGCAGATCAACCTACTTTTCCATTGTGCTCTTACAGCAGATTTCATTGCAGTTGGGAATTGCACAGTAGAAAACATATCTGTCTGGTTAAAAATTCAAGACATAGCATCTGTATTTTTTCCTTGAGCTGAACAGCAGTTGTCACAGAAAAAGGAAAAAAAAGTCCCCCAATTTGCAGTTTATTTGCAATAAAATCCCATTAGACACTGTATTTTTAATTCAAAATGCTCTGTGAGTGTTTGTTTCTTACCAGACAGGAAAGCAAGGTAACATCTGAACTTTCCTTTTGCCTACTCAGACGGCTAAGTAACCAATGAATGTACCAAAAGGTGTGGGAAACCTATCACTTAACAACAAACCTATTGGTTGTACAACTCCTGTCAAGGGCTGTAGAGACCACAAGTGGGATGAGATGAGATGAGATGAGATGAGATGAGACTCTGTCAACCAGTATGATTCACATTTGCCAAATGCACCTGTTACAGGCAAACCAGGTGTTATGGGCATTCAACATTTATGATTGCAAGCTACTGACTTGCACAACCATAAAATTTTCCTTCTAAGCAGTAAAGATGTTCCAGCTTCCTCTGTGAGCTTTCTTCTCTATTTTAACTGGTTTCAGTTAATGAAGTAAATTTGGAACAGAGAGCATTAACCAGTCTTTGAATGTTCCAGTGTTGAGAGAATGGTGGGAGTTTATGCACATTACCTCACTTTTGTATTTTTCTGTACTCCAGATCAAGTCACCCTTGTGGGAGCATTATTGGCAAAATCAAAGGAAAGGAAAATCAGCTGTATCTTTGTCTTTACCACTTGGTTAAATCCCAGTATGAGATTTTGAAAATAAAGTGCTGATGGACAACATGAAACTGAAAGTCTTTGAGCAGGGAATCAGCACAAGAGGCTCCAGGCCCGCTTCTGGCACTGACTTACCACTTGACTTTCAATCCACTTCTTCCACAGCTTTACCTCCACACTTTTAAAGGAGGTACATGATAATTACCTGCATTGGAAGGTTATTTTATGAAAATTTATTAATTTTATGAAAACTTAATAATTAATTCCTCTAAAGTGTTTGGAGATCCTCAGATAAACAGTTTCACACGGTTTTGTAAGGAGAGCATTATCAGAAAAGAAGAACACCTTTAAGTGGCCAGCAAATTGCTTAAACACCTTGAAAACAAACAGTTGCCAAAGTTAAGCACTAGACGTTGGTTTTATTGTGGCACTATAATAAACAAGGACTTTAGCATCTGTTCAAAATCCTAAATCCCACTCTTTGCTTCAAAGTCGTTTCTTGCACAATCTTATGCCACTGTTTTCCTTTCATCTTTGATAAAAAGCCCTCAGCAGTTCTAGTCACGTTAGCACTACTGCTGCTTGTTGTGGCTGTGTGTGTGTAAAATGCCTGCCAGAGAGTCTGCAACAGCTCCCCGTTGTAAATGTTGACATGGACACTTTTATCATAACCCAGTGACAGAAACTGGGTGCTACAGATACACTGGGAATGTGGTGGGCTTGCAAGATGGCCAGCAGGCTGTAGAGATGGAAACACAGCCAGGAAATTGGAGAGACATGATTATACCCCTGTGCTTGGTCTGAACCACATCTAAACCCTGTATCCAGTTTGGGGAACACACCCCAAAGGGAACACCAAGATGGTTGGAGCTGGATGACTGGTTCTGTGTGAAGTTGAGGGACTATGACACTTCCATCTTGGAGCAGGGACAGTTTCAGGAGCCCTCTTACAGCACCACCTATGAGGCAATCAGCACGACTATGGAAATGGGCTCTTACCTGTGGTACACAGCAAAAGGCTGAGACACAAGAAGCAGAAGTTGAAACAGGAGACTACAGACAGCATAAAAAGAAAACTTCCTTCCCTATGAAGGCAGTGGGACTGGTCACTCAGAGAAGTTGTGCAGGCTCTGTCCTTGGAAGTTTCCAAGCCCCGATGGGATAAAGCCCTGAGGGAATTGGTTTGAGCTGAACCTGCTGAGGGCTGGAGGTTGGACTGAGGCCACCTGCCTGGGTGGTGCAATGAGCCTGTCATT